GTGATACTGCCTTGGAAACCCAAGGAGGGGTCGCTATGAGTCGGGGCCGACTCGACGGCACATAACAACAACAACTACAACAACATGTACCATATACTTGAAAGTAGATTTAATGTGACTTATGTAAGAGACAACTTAACAGTTGACTTAATGAAAACAGACTAGCCAGTTCCACTTTTTGTAACATAAAATTCCATCAAAAAGTTGTCTTTAAAGTTACATTTTTCTTTTTTTTTTCTTAGTAACCTGTTAGACCTTCCTTACAAACTTATTAAGGTGAATACATTTGTTTTTATTGAGGCAAAATGTCATATAGCATAAGATTAATAATTGAAAGTGAGGAATTAGTGGCATTTAGTACATTTACCATGTTGTATTTCCACCACCTCTGCCTAATTCTAAAGGATGTTTATAACCCCATAAGGAAACCTTGAACCAGTTAAACAGGTGCTCCCTATTCCCTCTCCCCTCAGCCTTTCAGATTCTTTGACTGTATTCATATTTACTGCCCAAGTATTCATTGTCCTCTTAAACATTCATGCATATCTTATTTTTTTTTTTTTTTCCAAAATAACATCCACAAGCTCCTACTTAATAAGTTGAGTTTGGTGTGGAGACCACCACCCCCCAAGATGATTACTTTAAGAATTTGACACTTTCTTTGGTAATGACTTTGCTCCAAAGACTGACATTTTTTACTTGCAATTACTTTCAGAACCAGTTTGAGGCATGCAGGAGAATCAGTTTTATTACTTCATAGACATATTTTGTTTTATAGTCATATACCCATATATTTGATTTGTTAGACTCCCAAGCTCTGGACTCTTTTATAAATAGGCACTTTAAAAGGATCAAGCCAACATTTTTCTCTCTTTTTTTGTGACTTGATTTGTAAAAGGTAGAGCATGGTTATCAATTTATCATATATCTCAATTTAACAAATGACCAGTGGATAATAATTTTAATCTTTTTTCTGTTATTAAAGAAAGTATATATACTCACACATAACTCATATTTTAACTAAATTGGTTTTATTTTTACACAAGAATATAATGGATATTTAGCTTCCATTCTTATTAATATGTAATTTATTGATTAAAAGCATTTCTTTAATATTATCAGGTTTCAAATGATTGAGATAGATGTCTTTAAGAGTTGGTTTATGTACTGTTGCTGATCAAATCTTTACAGAAGTATGGGATCAGTGTTTTGTTTGGATCGAACAATGTTTCTTGTCTTAATGAGAAAGCACATTTCTTTTCCTGTGCATGAAGTTGTCTAAAAGAGAGAAAAATAAATGAAGTATAATGTGGTATAATTGGCAGAAAGAATTTTAGATTAGAATAGGCCTAAATTTGTATCTTTTCCTTCCTGTTTACTAATGTTTGACTTGAGCAAGTTAATCAACTTTTCAGCCTCAGTTTCCTCATCTGAAAAAAATGGGATCAACACATTCCTTCAAGTTTATAAAATATTTAAATAGCATTTTTATTTTTATAAAGCACCATGCTCGATAGCATACGTCATGTACTTAGTAATAATGTTCATTTTCTCTCCTGTTTTTATCTTCATGTATTGGTAATTTGAGACTAAGTTAAAGAATTTTCTAAGACATCATAACGTAGCTGTTTAAAGGTTTAATTTAGGATTAGTCTGCCATTTACTTTAGTAAATACTGTATTCTCTCCAGTGTCAAGAGAAGTATTTGAGAAAGGGAGGAATGATTTGAACATTGTTAACAGTCTATTTAATATAATCTAAGTCAGTGTTTTGAGGACATATTTTCAATAACTGTACTTAACATTTCCATAAAAGTGGTTTTCATTTATTTTCAATCACAGGTACAGGAACCTTAAAGATAGATTTTGTTGGAGAGCTGAATGACAAAATGAAAGGTTTCTATAGAAGTAAATATACTACCCCCTCTGGAGAGGTGCGATATGCTGCTGTCACACAGTTCGAGGTATGGGTTATTTGTCTCTGAAATACTATAATTCTTAAATTAGACATTGTGACAAAGATTGGGCTTTGGTTGGGTGATTATTATTTTATTATGTGGGGTGATTATTTGAGGCTGGGTGCCTTTACCCATAATTACAGTCACAGATTTGCAATTTTTATTTTATAGTCACCTAAGTTGTCTCCATCTATAGAAAGACGAGAATGAGGGGTGCAGGTTGGGGAATAATTATATACAGATATTGGACAGAATTTAATTTCCTGAATTACTTTTATACTGTACTGTGTAGGAATATAATTATTCTTAATTAAAATCATCTGCTTAATATTTGACAACTGCCTTTTCCTATTAAGTTAATAATCTTGGTATATACCATTCCTTTGCTTCTTTGATATTTTCCTTTATTTATCTCACTGTATTATCTTTGCATTCTGTGATTTTTTTAATCACGTATTTACAAGTTATAAAACTTTTTTTCAAATCTGCAATGATACTTTAAGTTTTAAATCTAATTAGATTTATTTCTGTAATTTTCAATATGGATACCAGTTCACTATGGCAATAACTGATGGCATCCAGACTTATATTTCTGCCCATATCCCTGTATTGGAGCTTTGGTGGTGCAGTGCTTAAGGCATTTACTGCTAATCAAAAGGTTGGTGGTTCAAGCCCACCAGCCACTCCATGAAAGACTAGGCAGTCAGTCCACTTCCAGAAAGCTTTACCTCTTTAAAAACCCATTGGGGTCGTTACGAGTTGGAATCGACTTGATGGCAGTGGATTTGGATTTTTTTTGGTTATCCCTATATTGCTTGCTCGCTTGCTTGTTTTGCATGAGTTTACTACTTGGTGTCTGTTTCAAGGATTTTATTTTGTTTGCCTTCTGTTTATTTTATTGCTATTATTTTTTTTAACTTTTATTGTGCTTTAGGTAAAACTTTATAGCGCAAATTAGTTCCCATTTGATAGTTTTATACATAAAAGATCCCATGACATGGGTTGCATTTCCCAAAAATTATCAGCACTATCCCCATTTCCTGGAGCTCTGGTGGCATAGTGCCTAAGGCATTTGACTGCTGACCAGAAGGCTGGCTGTTCAAGCCCACCAGCCACTCCTTGGAAGGAAGGTTGGGCAATGTACTTCCGAAGTGATAACCACCTCGGAAACCAAACCCAAGGAGGGGTCACTATGAGTCAGATTTGACTCAATGGCAGTGAGTTGAGTATCCCCATTTCCACCCTGGGCTCCCTGTTTCCTTTTGTCCGGGTTCTACCTCTTCCTGCCTTCCCATCTTTGCTTTGGGGCAGATGTCCTTTTGATCTCATGTAATTGATTGTTCTAAGGAACACAGTTCTTTCAGGTGTTACAGTTTATTTTATGAACCTATTATTTGGCTGAAAGGTGGTCTCCAGGAGAGTGGCTTCAGTTCTATGTCAGAAGGGTGTCTTAGGGCCATAGTCTCAGCTGTACCTTCTGTTTTAAAACAGTTTTTGTTAGGTTCTGTCAAGTTGATTCCAACTCATAGCAGTCTCATGTACAACAGAATGGAAGACTGCCTGGTCTTATACCATCCTCACAGTTGCTAGTTTGAGACCATTGTGTCAGTCCATCTCACTGAGGGTTTTCTTCTTTCTCACTGACCCTGTACCAAGTATCATGTCCTTCTCCAGGGCCTGGTCCCTCCTGATAACATGTCCAAAGTATGTGGGATGAAGTCTTGCCATTCTTGCTTCTAAGGAATATTCTGGTGTTCTTCTTCCAAGACAGATTTGTTCATTCTTCTGGTATACTCAGTATTCTTGCCAGCACCATAGTTCAAAAGCAACAATTCTTCTTGGGTCTTCCTTATTCATTGTCCAGCTCTTACATGCATATGAGATGGTTGTGAAAATACCATGACTTGGGTCAGGTACGCCATTAGTCTTCAAAGTGACATCTTTGCTGATTAGGACTTTAAAAAAGTCTTTTGCAGCAGATTTGCCCAGTGCAATATGTTATTTGATTTCTTGACTGCTGCTTCCATTGACATTGATTATGGATCCAAGTAAAATGAAATCCTTGTCAACTTCGGTCTTTTCTCTGTTTATCATGATATTGCTTATTGGTCCAGTTGTGTCCCATGCACCTCTCTATCTATGTCTTCCTCTTCTCAGTGCCACTGTGTTTATTACTCACATTCGGTACATTGCCCTTCTCTTCACCCAAATCAATACTTGTCTCTACCTATCTAGCAGTATTCCCTCCGCTCCCCTCCTACCCCTGGTAACCAACAAAGAAAATTTCCTTCCATATAGAAACCTTTCCTTGACTTTTTACAATAATGAGCAAATACTACATTTGTCCTTCTGTGATTGACTTATTTCACTCAGCATAATACCCTCCAGGTTCATCCACTTTATGCAATGTTTTGCAGATCGAACATTATTTTTTAGGGTTGCATAGTATTCCATTGTGTGTATGTACCATAGTTTGATTATCCATTCTTCTGTTGATGGGCACCTAGGTTGTTACCATGTTTTGGCTATTGTAAATAGTGCTGCAATGAACATGGGTGTGCATATATCTGTTCTTGTCCTGGCTCTCACTTCTTTAGGCTATATACCTAGTAATGGAATGGCTGGGTCAAATGGTATTTCTAATTCCAACTTTTAAAGGAAT